GTTGCACAGCACGCTACATGGTCGTCCACGAATGGGACAGGCTCTCACTGCTGTCATCTGGCCACTGATGCCCCAATCTTACACGATACGGTGCAGGCAAGCGGCTCTGGCGATAGTGTCTCAGACTGTTTTGGACTCTGATTATAAGCTGCCATGTGATTGGTGCTTCGACGATGCGCTGTCGTGCCTCTCAACATTCTACATCGCCTGTGCCATCACACTGACTGGCAAGCACAGGTTTGGATTTGATTCTGCATGGTGTGGACTATCACTTTGCGATCATCTTTACATTACTGCGCTGCCCGCCGCCAGCAACATCGGACTGGGGCGGGCCGTCGTCCACCGGCAGGGCTCACATCGCTGGGGAAACGGGCGGAGTGAGAGTCGCTGAGACAATGTTCTTGGCCCATCTTGGCCCTCCGGGTTAGCACTTGTTGCATCTGGTTTGCGTTCAAAAGCGCCATTGCGTTCGCCGAGGACTGCTTGGGGATGGCGAGCATCACGTTGTATGCCCGTGTCGCCACGCGTTGCATGATGGTGGCATGTGGTGGCCCCTGCAATGCTTTGGTCGCGTGAGTGTGTCATCAGTTTGGCGGGCATTGTGCACATGCATGCATGTGCCTAGTCATGGGCCACGGCGGTGTGTCCACTGCAGAAGTGCATACTTTACGGCTCAGTTGTTGATAGATGTTGATAGATACTATGACACTCTTGCAGTATTGCTCATGAAAACATGCATGGACGCACCCCAAAAGCCTCGGCGCTGCTCTGGGCGTGTGGACCGTGGTGCAAGCGTGCTGGCGGCACAGTCGCGCAACAGACCCTCGCGAAGCCGCGGGGCACCGCGCGTTAATCGTTACACGGCGGGGTCCTCCGTGAAGTGCCACATCGAGATCGAAGACGAGCCCGTCTTCATCACCTCAAAAAGGGCAGGGAGGCTGATGTGCAGAGGGTGTGCTCTTTCTTGATGGCTGTCACAAGCTCATCGCAACGTTCGTGACTCTACACCCTGTCCGGTTCGGCGGGCAAGGCACTGCAAGAGCTTCCTCGTCGGACTTTGCTCGAACGAATAGATGTTTCACACCACGGAAAAGTTCCCGATTCTGTTCCCACGCTCCTCCTGAGTTGGACGAGGAATCAGCTGACCGACAAGATCGTGACGATGACCCAGAGGAAGAAAGGCTCAAGTGAGGTCATTCATCTTGTGCTCAGGGTTTCTTTTTTGTTTGGCCGATTTCTATCCATTCCGTGATGTTGGCGCTGGTGGTGGCGGGGGACCACCCGACAGGCCTCCTCCTGCCCCAATCCAGAGCCCTCCGCTTGTTTTCAATAATTCAAGACGGGGATCACCTTCCTTGCTCCCTTAGAAAACGTCCGGAAATTTGTTCGAGGAGGGTGACCGCTGCCAGTCGTGCGGGGGACCCGAAGGGCAAGGCGAGCATACGCACAAACCGCTTCGATGGTGCGACCAGGTACGAGACCATTGGGAGACCCGTATATTCACGGTGAGTTCGTGACGCTACCTCGGCGGCACCGAGAATGCAATCTACAACACGACCAGGAGCCAAGCCGGGGCATAAGATATGCCCAAGATGGTTGTAGGGACCACCCTTTGATGGGAAACATGAAAGTGCCGACCCACTCGCTCGGGGACTGGAATCTCCACGAGCTCCACACAGCTAGCTCCTCCTAGGAAGAACAAAAGTCCAGCCACCTGAATGCCCCTAATTATAAGCCGGAGCCTTCCTCCTCTTCAAGACCTGCAGGAAGCTGAGCCAGAGTAGCCCGACGACCCCTTTTTCAACACAAAGGACCAGCAGGAAGAGCGAGAAGCATGGGCCGCCATCCTGGACTGGACGGCACCAGGGGCTCCAACAGAGCCTGTGGGAAAAAGGAGGCGCAAAACCAAGAAGACAAACCAGAACGGCGCAGCTAGGGCCATCCCTGCTAGCACCGCGGCCGATACAAGGGCAACCCGCAGCCTCACCGAGCCGGTCGACGAGAACATGCCGCACCACCGCAAAGCAGAGACCGAAAGCGCCAGAGCCACAGTTGAACACATATGCGGTAGCGCACATGGTTACGCCCAGTTTTGGACGTGTTCAACCAGCCCGACCTGAACCAGAACTTCCTGTACACCACGGCCTACTACCAGCTTGCTGAACGGAACCGGGGGACAGCGTACAGCCCCGAAAGCTGGAACGGATGGAACGGGTACCGGGACCAAGCTCAGACTAGACCAAAACATGGGCGCCCGTCACTGCGCCAGCGACCCGACACTGCGCCAGCGACCCGACTACCAGGACGACTGGTCCCGAAATTTGCCCAACACCGAGCCCTACTACCAGCCCAATGCAGGGGACGACGAGGAGCCGGATAGGGGAAGAACCAGCAGTGAGTCAGCAGACGGGGACGAAAACGCCACGAGCCGCTGGGACACCTTCGCCCATCACAGCCAGAAAGACCGACGCCAACACGCAAGCACCCAAAGCCAAGCACGGGAACATCCCTGCATGGAAGAGGCAAAGGAGCCAACAAGACCGAGCGCGATGGCGGGGGCATGGAGCAGTACGGAGACGCCAAGGCAAGGCACCAGGATCGTGTCGTGATACTGAATTCTGAGGGTGACGCTTGAGCGAAGGTTTGAGCTGCAGTGCCGCTATCGCAGGCGACCAGCACACCACTTTTCCTTTTCCGTTGCGTTCCTTTCAACATATACGTTTCTGGGCGGAGGGACGCCCCCGAGCGACCCCTCCAATCCTTCTGCCCGATGCGAAACAGGAGTTCAGCTTTCGCAATTTCAGTCACAGCCTGGAATATGCATTCCGAAACTCAGCAGCGATGCGTGCAGATTGGAGAAAATAACACCATCCCTCCGCCCTTCTATTTTGTCTCAGATCCTGTGGACTAGCATTACTACAATATTGTAGGGATATCTTGAAGACCTTAGAAATATGCTGCTCGCTTTTTGGTATGGGGTTAGGTTTGTACTTTAAGGTTAGTAAATACAGTCTTTGAATGAAAGACGAAAACAAAAATAGAGAACACGAAAACTGACTTTAGCAAAGATAATTGCAGAACGAAGGAGACAGACAAACAGAGTCAGACAAAAAGTGTTTCTTCGATCACGGGCTCACCCAGTCACATCAAATGCGGATCTGCCCACCCAGATGGTAAATTAGACATTTACTTGCCGCATGTTATTCGTCAGCTAGATTCGCGTCGTTTGCTAGGTCTAGGCAAATATTGAATGGCGTCGTAGGAGATACATTTTCTGCCATGTGCCGGACTGCCATCAATTTGCTTGGCTGACAGCATCGGAGTCGAACTGCCTGACGCCTGTTGTCGATACCATTGATCGTTTGATGCTTGGGGCGTGCCAACTCACGAAAGGGTTCTGATGCTCAGCTAGGGCCTCGAAGGGGCATTCGATGAAGGTTCGGAAACGAAAGCTCCGCATTTTCACGGGGTTCCATGCATGGTCCGAATAATCGGTGTCAGATTTTGGGGCTGGTTGTGGGGCTTTTGAGGCAGTGGAAGATATACCATCACGTAACTTGCGATCTGAGCAGGATGTGAAAGACAGTTTACAAAGCCGTGTCATGCAGCAGATCTGGAAGAGGGATGCCTGGTGCACTCGGTTTCTTCTGGCTAATTGCACCGACATCACGTTGGTCAGCCGACACCATGAAGGCATCCCTTGCCCAGAGGTATACTCCAAAGCAGCTGTGGCCATAATTCAGTCTGCGACACTTGGCTGTTTTCGCAGAAGAAGTTGATGATGAGCCAGCTCAACCCAATTCGAAGTTGAACAACAGCCTAGTTGATCTGGAATTTACTGTGGACTTCCTGACTTCATCACTTGAAGTCCTTGCCTGGATCACGTGCCCAACAAGGCCAGACAGTTGGCCCTGGAGCCGCCGCTATTTAACATTCATAAATATTGTTCTCCTGTTTCAGCATTGTTCGGTTATTGTCGTTTCTTTGATAGAGGCTCTCGTGCTTGGCCAGTATTGTTTAGCAACTCGTATTTTGTAGATTGCGTCTTCTTTTCTCACCCCGATATGAGCAGAACAATTGTGTACACTCCTCCAAGATCCTCGGCTTTCCACAGGTGAAGTCAAATTCTTATTGGTTCCAACATGTTTGGTTTTGTTCTGTTCTAATGCTGAGTACATACACACGAGCATCCGAAGCACAACGCGGTCAAAGGCACTGCCGGGAATGCATGAGCTTTTCATAAGCTGCGAGATGAACGGCATGGAAAGAAAGCATTATTGCTCAGGCATTACAGGGTAAGGCTGATGTTCCCCTGCGGAAAGGCGTATCACTGAAGGCGAGTCTGGAAGTCCACTCTCTTGAAGGTAGCATGAAGCGATCAAACCTACACGAGCCTGAGAGACATTTTCATGGGGCCTGGCTTTGAGATGCGCCTTTGCCACGCCTTAGGGAGGCAATGGGATGTTGCAAGATGGCTTCGGCCTGTTGTATTGTTTTGCCGAGCCTGCAGCAGACCTTATTGCCAATCGGTCCTGTACTGAGCAGTGGAATGCAGGAGCGTGGAAAAGAAGTTCGGCTGCAAAGGGAGAGACGAGAGCTAGGAGCGAGGAGAAGCCTCATTCGGACAGTCATGCTATTGCCAAGGGATAGTGGTACAGTGGTATGGTCTGAACCAGCGAGTCTACGATGCTTTGGAGCTAAAAGATGCCAGAATTCTGGGCTGCAATGGGTTGAGATTTCGTCGACATGCGCTTCAAGGGCAAAACAACGCAATCAGAGAGTGTAAAGTGCTTCGTGCGTCCGCCGTTGACGAAGCAGCATTCTTCAGTCCTGAACCTGGAAGTGGTCCCTGCCAAGGATCGTCTCGGCAGCTCGCCCATTAAGAAATTCAAACCCGGCCAGGACGACTGCAGGTGCAGCTGCAATCGACGGCAAGGCATGTCAAGTCTTGAAGCGCAAGCAAACCTTGTGGCCAGACTGTCGTGCGACCTGCCGGAGAGGCGTTGCTGGTTGTGGGAGGAGCACCTTCTTTCTCCACTGTCGAGGTGAGGAAATAGCGGCAAAGTAGAACAGGGCAAGTGCAGTCTGGGCAGCCGCACCTCCCACTCGCAGCTGAAGTCGATTCTTCTAATGTCCCGCATCATCAGACTCAAACACACGATTCATTCTGAATCTGTAGCCCAAGGGACCAACATAGGAGAGTGGGAAGAGCAGTCGCTCAACTCGGCTCCACTGCTCATATCAGTGACTATCTCGAGTTTGCAAGACTTTTGCAACGCTGGTGTGCGCACAGCGCTGATGCAAACGAAGGTATACAGGGTCCCCACTGCAGATGCAGGCTCGCTACCTTGCTGCACATGGCCCCAGTTGCGTAACTTGCAATGAACCTTGCAGGGTGCTCGGCTTGAAAACATGTATCTGGGGACTCGCCAGATGTGCATGTCGAGCTATGTAGAGTATGGCAAGCAAAGAATAAGCAAAGCGATATCACGTACAACGAGTAGTTTGGCATGATCGGCTCTAGTACAGCTCCCGTACGTTCCATGGACCAGGATGGCATAGGATGGCAGTACGAGTCGTGAAGGATAGCGATCTTCTCAGTAGATAAGTGTTTTGACTTGGTGATTTCATAGGAATGCTGAAGGGAATCCTTCGCCGTCGTATCGAGTGTGCGGACCTTTGCTGCCAGGCTTCTCAGCTAGAGAGGAAGAGAAAGTCGTTGCGATCTCAGTACCCAGAACCCTGCCAGAACCCATCAAAATCGAAAGCCACAGCCGGGTCTGGCAACTTCCGATCCTTTTAACCGCCTCCGCTTATGCGTTTGAAATGCGTCCGACGGCAAGAAGACTCCATGACTCTGATTAGTCTCGGCATCTCGCGGAGCATCCGAGCATCTGTTTTGTGTTGAGGCCGACTTGTCCGATGGTCGCATGGGATGCCAGGCCTGGGAGTTCCAACGACGCGGATTATCGCGGATTATCATTGCGTCTAGCAGAATTGTCACACCGCTCATCCCAGATTCTCCCTGGCTTTTTGCATCAAGTCCTGTCAAGTTTCATTTTGCCTTGTCCATGACGACTCGAGGACGCAGAATGTCACCTCAAACTTTGCACAATGGTGGACAATTGGGTTCACTGCCTGCAGTGTAGGCAGTGGCTTTGAGTTGGAAGCGGAAGAGACTAGACTTAGACCGACATGAAAGCAAGCATGGCTGGCATCTGAAGGCTGCCGTGCTAGCGCTCCCGTCTCCTGAGAAGACTTATCCCGTTGCCGGTTGCTCAGACCCGGTCGGTCGTGTGCAAGGAGATGGGCCTTGGCATCGAAACACGCACTGGTTGTTGTGTGCGCTGCTTTAGCCTGATTTTAATGTTTCAGGCTTACATAACATGAAATTCACACCAACAGAAAGACAACATCATAAAGCAGGAACTCGTAGAGTGTCGTGAGATGTCGTACGCTAGTCGAGATCTAAGCAAAGGTGGAGCGGCGCTGTGTCGTCGTCATTGGCGGCGAGAGGTGTGATGAAGATGTGGCGGAGTTTGGAAGGATCAGGCGCGGGTTGCCAGCGCGGACTGATGTTCTGGTTCGTTGCTTTCACAGTGAGGGATTCTAGAGCCGCGATGGAGTCCTTTTCTCATAGTGCCAGTATGGAGAGCAAGGTTGTGCCAGAAAAGACATTGGACATCAACCCGAAGCTCATGCATGTCAGCGCCGGGTTACACTACACATGCGGCACACATGCATGTGACGATCTGTCTGTGCGGGGACTTTTGGACGCCTTCCAACTTTCCATTCGGTTGAAACGTCCGAATACGGGAAGCATGTGTAGGCGGCATGCCCCAACCCATGTTCTTTGTGGTGACGGCTGTTGATGGCTGCAGCATGTAGTGACCATGAATCGTCAAGTCTGTTTCCAAAATAGATTCCACGAGGCTTTGCTTCACTCTGCTTCATCTGTTTCGCTGTGCTTGCAGGCAGCTGGCCGGTGTTCCTGTCTTCGACACCGAGATGGGTAGCCTGACTTGAGCCAGCAGTTTAACAGCGCACGGGCAGAGTCAGCAGTCACGGCGTGGATGTGCAGAGAAGCGGGCTTGTCACTTGTCGTGTCTTGCAGGACATTGGCGCAAGGATGACGTCGTCCCACCACTTGCCGACTGCCTCGCTTGAAAACCAATGAACCCAGAAGTTAGAATTTCTGGTTCGATCTTGACATGTTTTGACCTGCCTCGAACCTTCCTTTATCTGCTTGCGGTTTGCCTTTGCATGCGCAAGCTCCTGATGTAAGTGTTTGTCTGGTCGTGTGGCTGCATTTTGTCTCCTCCGGCCTGGCTAGTTTGCATACCATCAAACTCTCGTTCGATTCTTGTGCGAATTCTCTACCGGGATACTCAATTAGATCATGATTTCATTGGGCGTCTTGGCATCCCTATTGGTAAGTATGAGTAATCGGTTTCGAACCCCCTCAAGTTCGACTTAAATGTCCCTTAAGTCGATCGATCATCACAACGTAATTCCTGGATTAGCATCGTTGTGATCTCATCTGACGCTTACTCTAGCTCCGGCTGATAGGTTATCCTCACTAAAAGCTCGGAGCCTGCCATCAAGATCCCCGCTTGAATCATGATGTACCCGTTTTGTGTGACGACCTCGGGTTCAGAGTGAATTCTCGGTAAGTATGTAGATCATGGCAACCTAGTTCAGGAAATAACACATTCACTGTGCCGAGATGGCAGCTGCATGAAAAGATGAGGAGCGAAGGGTTTGACGGCTCAATTCCGTCAACATATCGGAAGTGGCGGCGACGGCCAGAACTTATGCTGCACCCACGACTGTTCCGCATGAAAGGGACGGGCTCCTCAACGTATAAAAAACGTCTCCATCCGCTTGGAGACTGCATAGAACTTCCGGAAGAAGTTCGCGGTGGGTTTCTGTTGCGGAAGCTTCTGTTTCAGCCAGCTGCTGAGGCGATGATCCTGACGCTGACACAGGGGTCGCTGAAGTCCATGGACATGGACGCAATTATCAAGTCGGTGTTCCTGCAGCGTGCGGCAAAGACGTCAACAGGAAGCCGGTTCGTGAAGGTGTTGAAGCCATTGCCACGAGAGGAACGAAGAGCCGAATTTTTATCCCAATTTAGATGTATTCAGGCTTTGACTTTGAAAGCCTAGGACAAAACCTCGTAGTGTGTAATGCCTCACCTAACCACAGCAGTATGGTCGTCACTGTTGGAATGCTTTTCCCTACACTTAAACTGCAATGTTGTCGGACACAAGTCTTCGTGGAAACTGTTTTCGGGTTCTGGGGAGTTGGCTTCGTGTTTGCAGAGTGTATTCCTTTTGTTGTTGCGGGTGTGTTGGTGGCGTTGTGCTTTTGTTGTTGTCAGCATAGCATTGTCTTCCGTTGTGCTGTCGAAACGGTGCGTGTGCTGCTGATTCCGAGGCCAGTGCTACTACTGTTGTTGCTGGTGGTGCTGCTGCTACTGCTACCGCTCCCGCTCCTGCTCCTGCTTTTGCTCCTGCTCCTGCTGGTGCTGGTGTTGGTGCTGGTGCCGGTGCTGGTGCT